CATCTACTTCTGATGTAAGAGTTGTTGCCAATAACTAAGCTGCCATCGCTCAACTTGGAGTTTTTCCGACGATGCTTGTGGGAGACAAAATCACTCTCACTGTGATGAGCTAGAGCCAGTTCGGATTCATACAAGCTTTCTTCCAAAACGGAGACGATCACGGTAGCACAGTCATTAAGTGTTTCCTCCCCCATAAAACGCGTTTGCCTTTCTTGCAGCCGCCCACAGACGTCCCCGGGAGGAGGATGGGCCGGCGGGCCAGGGCGCCACCTGGTGGGCATGAGCGGGATGCTCCCTCTGGGCACCGGCTTTCTGAAGCCTGTGGTGCAGACCCACCTCCCGTCTCCCAGCCCGTCTAGGCGTCCACGTGGTCTCCGGTCTCCGTACCTGTGCCGGCCTCGGAGGCCCGGCCAACACGGCCAGGTGCGCTGTCGTCCGAGGGGACGGAGAGGGTCTGTGCGCTTCAGTGATGCTGTTCGCAGAAGGCGGGCCGATGAGGCGGAATCCCGCGGGTGAAGGCCCCCAGGGGCGGGCAGGCGGAGGGTTTGCTGTTGAAGATCCTCCCCCAGGACATTTCCCATTGTTCTGAGGGCGAGGGGAACGGAGAGGGAAAGGCAGAGAAACGTCCGTGTGAGAGAGACATGTCGACGGGTCGCCTCCTGCACACACCCCGACCAGGGCCGGGCACCGAGGTACGTGCCCTTGACTGGAACCGAACCTGTGACCCTTCCGTGCCAGGGCTGAAGCTCTACCCACTGAGCCAGACGGGCTAGAGCACCAGTAGCTGTTCTTGTCAGCACAGCTCATGGCCTCTGGGACCCTAAGCCCTTAAGCACTTGGGAATGGAGTCCTGTCGGCGCCCTGATCCGCATCCGGGCCTGCTCCCAGCCAGCAGACTGCCCTGCGTTCATGCCCTCCCCGGGCACGGCCACCAGGAGGGAAATCGCGGCGTAGCGGGGCTTAGGCGAGGATCCTCTAATCCAGCCTCACTTTACAGCCGGGAGGCCAGGGCCGTGGCCGGCAGGGGCGGTGCCGGGTCACGCAGCTTCCGCCCAGATTAACAGACCAGAGCCAGGCCCGGAGCCCGTGCCCTGACTGGAGCTCAGGCCCGCGGACCTCAGCGCCTCGCGGCGTGGCGAGTGCTTAGGGACATCGTGGAGATAAACTGCCCGCTAATTCAGGGCCGCATCTGTCAACAGAAACTGTAAATAGCACCCAAGGGCAAAGCCGTCCGGCACATTTGATACCAACGGCGTTTGCTGAGCTTGGCGATGGCGAGGCTCTAAGCGAAGGCACGGGCTGAGCCGCGCCAGGCCGAGCACATCACGGTCACCACGCGGGCGTGGGGAAGAGCAGGGTGCGGTCCCGTGGGCAGGTCTCAGGCTCCACACACACGACACGCACTGGGGGCACTTCACACCGAGGTCATCAGGTGGAGGAATCGAATGGCCTCTCCGACTCCGCAGGGCTCGCCCAGGCCTCCTCCTCCCGCCGGCTCCGCGGGCTTCCTCTCTGCTGAGACCCTCTGCGCCCCTAACGGTCCGATGAGTCTGCGAGTCCGGAGGACACTCCTCCCTCCTGTGTGTCCCCGTGGCCCCGGGCACGTACCTCCAACACCCGCGCTCGCTGATGAGTCCATGGAGGTCGTGCCAACAGGCCCACGTGAGCCTGCCAGGCGCAGGGCTGCTGTGGCTGCCAGGCTCCTGGCGTGTGTGGAGGCACAGATCCTGGAAAAACTCCGGGCTCCGTTCCAGACACGCTGGGTAACCCGGTTACCTGGGTGTTTGGGGAGAATAACAGTGTTGTCACCACCCGGCTTCTCACTGACGTTTCAGGGGGCACGCGGCTCAGGAGTTTGCTTTATTTGTTCTGAGAGATGTCTGCTGGGGTTTGTGAGCCCTGGGGGTAGTTTTAATCCTCACCTGGGGATATTTTTTCCATTGATTTTTTTTTGTTGTTGTTGTTAGAGAGAGTGGAAGGGAGGGATGTGGGAGGAAAAAGAGAAATATCTATGTGAGAGATGATGTGGATGCGATGATGGTGAGGAGATGATGTGGATGAGAGGATGGTGAGGAGATGATGTGGATGAGATGATGGGGAGGAGATGATGGTGAGGAGATGATGTGGATGAGAGGATGGTGAGGAGATGATGTGGATGAGATGATGGGGAGGAGATGATGGTGAGGAGATGATGTGGATGAGAGGATGGTGAGGAGATGATGTGGATGAGATGATGGGGAGGAGATGATGGTGAGGAGATGATGTGGATGAGAGGATGGTGAGGAGATGATGTGGATGAGATGATGGGGAGGAGATGATGGTGAGGAGATGATGTGGATGAGAGGATGGTGAGGAGATGATGTGGATGAGATGATGGGGAGGAGATGATGGTGAGGAGATGATGTGGATGAGATGATGGTGAGGAGATGATGTGGATGAGATGATGGTGAGGAGATGATGGTGAGGAGATGATGTGGATGAGATGATGTTTTGACTCCTGGTGGGTCAGTCTGTCCCTGCTTATGGGTTCTGCTTGCTGGGTTCACAGCTGAGTCACTTCCTCAAAAGCTTCTCACAAACCTGCAAAGGAAACTTAAGAAAAACTTAACCCCCTATTCACATAAGTACATGTGCTCTAAGATCTAAAATAATATGATTACTTTTCAGATTAAGTCAGGCGCTCCCTACCAGTGTGATGGGCCACGGGGTGGATGGCAATGAGTGTGCAGAAAACCCGTCGGCCGGGAGGGAGCAATGGGCTAGTCACCCGGCCCTGTGGGCACTGGACCCCGTGCCTGGCCGTGTCCACCTGCTGTGACCTGCGCTCCTACTGCCCAGGATGGGGGCTGGGCTCCCCTGCATCTCCACACGCACCAGCTGGCTGGGGTGTCCCCTTCACTTCTGAAAGGGTGTTTTTGTGGCCAGAGGATGTTTGGGGTCCTGTTCTCTGGTGTGCGTTGTTTCTGATGAAAAAGTCTCTGCCGTCTGTGCATGGTGCGACTTTCTCCTCCTCTTCCCTCCGAATCACCAGCTGTTGGCAATGCGATCAGGATGTGACTCGGTGCGGTTTCAGTTCACGGTGCTCGGCTGGGCGGTGCTGAGCCCCGCGTGCCTGGGGGTTCCAGGTTCCAGCAGCCGCAGCTCTGTCCTGACTCAGTGCCCAGCCGCCCAGGACCCCGGGGCTGCCTCCCACATCCGGGGACAGGCGGTCCCTGAGTCTAGATGAGGGTGAGGAGTGCGGCCGTGGTCCCTGTGGGAGACGCGCCTCCCGAAGGGGGCTGTGTGCTCGGGAGGAGCCGGGACCCGGCCCGAGGATCAGGCCGATGGGCAGGCGGCGGGCACGGTGACTGTCCCAGGGTGAGTGACCTCCCGGGGGAGGCCGGACCGGTTTCCGGAGCGAAGGGACGCGGATGACAGAACTCGCCCGTCCGCTGCGGGCGTGTGCTTGCTGCCCACGCAGCTCCTGTAGTGCAATGCTGGGCCCTCGGCGTTAGGGGGGCGGCTCACACGGTAAAGGCGTGCAGTCCGGGTCCGTGTGCGGGGGACTCTCAGAGGGGCCAGCCAACGCCTCTGACCCTCGTCTTGGTAACGTGTAAGCGATGCATTCGCCGGCCTCCTTGCTGGGCTCCGGCGTGTTTCGGTACCCGCTCTACGGGCACATGGCGGGGTCCAGGGCTCCCAGGACGTTCCATACATTACTTCTTCTAGTTTCTGCCACAAACGTGTGAGATCGTTATTGCAGAGGTTTTACAGGTGGGAGCCCAGAGTCCAGAGGGTGACCATGCTGCCCTGCCCTCGGCCACACAAGCCGGGTGCCAGCCACGTGGTGCCAGTGCTGTGTTATTTATATTTGCACATGTGCCGGGCAGGACAGACACCCCGCCATGGGGGAGGGGGAGGGGGCACAGCGTCCATCTGTGGCAATAACTATAAATAAGACGGAGCTGCCCACTGGGCGTCGCTCCCCCTTCAGGCAGGTCTTGTTAAGTCCACCCCAGGAGGAAACCTAGTGGTTGTTGAAATTAAAACAAACAAACAAAAATTAGCTACGGAGCCCCCCCCCCGCCCCCCTCCCAGCCCTTGGAGTCCCGTGTAGGCCCTGGTCACCATGGTAACCGTGTGAGCCTCCGCCTGAGTCTGGTGGTGGAGAGACTCTCGGCCTGTCCATCTGTGCGCCTGGGAGCCGTCCCTCGACAGGATGGGAGCGAGACTGAGGATTTACGTGGAAAATGAGTGCAAAGGCCGTGCCTGCCCCTGCCCGCCAGCAGCATAGTCAGCCTCCCGGGGGAGGGGAGCCCTGTGAGGGTCCCTTTTCCATGGGATTTCCCCCTACAACGGGCTGTCTGCTCCCAGGACCGGCTGTAACTCCGTCCCTGTCAGTTTGGGCAAGAAGCCACGTGTCTATATATGGCAGGTCCTTGGCCTTAAATGGGGCGGGACAGGCTCTGCCCGGAGCGCTGGGCACTGCGTCCTGTGCCGGGCTCTGCTGTCCTGAGCTGGGCTCTGCCATCCTGAGCCAGACACTGTCCTGAGCCGGGAACTGTCCTGAGCCGGGCAGCGCTGCTTCCCCTTTGCACCGTCCTTCCCTCTCGGTGAGTTTCCCTCTTTGTTCTTCTCCTGGTCTCTCCTTCCTGGGGGGCCGGTGCCTCAGGCACAGGCTGGGTCCCCCCAGCTCCCCCGGGACGTTCGGGGGGAGACGTTAACCTGCCCAGACCTGAGGTCCGAGTTTCTTGGTCAGATTTTAACATCGCCCGGTCCTGTCTGCGGTTAGCGTCCCGAGTCCCTCCCCCGCCCCACGGGGACCCTGATCTGGGGCCCTCCCTCAGGTTCCCGGTCCAGGCACTGAGGTTGGAGATTGTGGTCTCAGAAGGAAAGAGCCTGTGAGGAGGTGCAGGCGGGAAAGGGGGAGTGGAATCGAGTGTTTTCCTAAGAGAACACG